GGGGGGACGAGAGAGGGGGGACGAGAGAGAAAGAAAAAAAGAAAAAGAAAAATCACTTTTGTTAGTCTTCTATGGGTAAAAAAAAAAGTGACCCAAATTACATTTAAGCTCAGGTTTCACAGAACGAATGACCACCCCTCATAAATTTCAGCTGCAGAATATTTGTTACTGGGACTGATAGGTGAGAGTAGAACTTGGTCCCTAACTGGACCAAGGCATTTTGGTGTCCTCCTGACCAACGATTACTGGGAAACACCATGTATCCAGATATTGGGCATAAATTTTGCATGATTATATATGTGCAATCCCAAGTACCATTGTGGTCTGCCGTCTAAACCCCGCTTCAACATCTATGAGCCTTACCTTGCAGCATACCTGAGTAAATGGGGGGAAGGATCTTTTTAATTCTGCATCATGAAATTCGAACTAGACTCATCCTGGCACCATGAAAAGTCACCTCATGATGTCATTTCTACAACTATTTTTCAGACTGTAACTTCTTTTTAAGTCTATTACTACTGACGGTTCCAGTCTAGCTTATTTACAACATACGAGGAGCAAGAAAGGAACGTCAATATAAAAGACTAGGCACACAAAGTTAAAGTTGAAAGTGGCCATAAACATTTCCCTGCTCCCTGCAGCACTGAGCATTACCAAAACAGAGATGCTTGTAGATCCAACAAGCATTCTGATCCAGGTTAACCTATTCTTTCCTGCTCTGCTCTGTCTGAACCCACAATATTTGCTCGATTGTACCTGCAGCCAAGCATTTGGCAGGAGGCCTGCATTTAGATAATCATTGTTCAGCTAAAAAGATTACAAAACTCTTTGATGTAACAAGCTACTGGAAACAAAGGACAACTGAGGGAAAAAAGATTTCAAAAGACATAATATTGAAATAAAACCAACAAGCATCAACTTTATTGCAAGCAATTTGTCATCCCAGTGTTGCCAGCTGTATACACCACAACATCCATTTCCAGGTTCATCACAACATCCATTTTGAGGTAGGCAAGTTCTATGCAAGATGAACTGCAACACTGATAGCAACAGACAGTAACACTTTGCAAAAAATGCAAGGAAAAATATTTTTAAAACTTCTCTATGTCCCTCTGAAACACAGTAGGATTTTTAAAGAACTTTATAAAGCGGTTTAGGCTTGCCAAATTAGAGTTGGTTATAATACTGCAATTAATGATAGCAAAATATTATTTGATATATAGAAGTATTCTTGGCAAAGGTACTATGAACTGAAAAATAACTTGAAAATGTTACACTGACAATAGAAAGAAAAAACAGCAACAGAAACAACTCTGCAGCCTCAAAAAGCAGCACCAAGACTGGAAGGACTTCCAAACACAGTGGATTAGCACTGTTCAAGGGGGAAAAATATTAGGCCTCTACAGTCTAGTGAAAAAAGCATAACAAGGAATCTGAAATATGACAAATTAAAATAAAATGAAGGTAGCATTATGTTAAGCAGCAAGAGTGAGTAACTATTGGAAGGGAAGTGGCAGACTCTCCATTTCCGTATGCCTTCATAATAGGGCCAGATGCTTTTCTAGAGTCTGTGCTTACTTTACTCAAAGTATTAGGCTCAGTTCTAAAATAAATGAGTTAAAAGTAACAGGAAATGACACAAATAAGGTCAAGATAAATAATGATCTTTCAGTGTGTGCGTAAGGGAAGCCTTTACAAAATCCCTTCTTTCTGTGCCCTGCAACTGTGATGGTTCAATCAAGAAACAGTTATTTGCACACAGTTACTTATGCGTGCAGTAACTGTACAGATGCTGTGAACATGAACAATGTCTCGGAGAGAGCAGAGGCTCTGTATTGGCTTTACATTTCACACAGGCTCTACAAACGTATTTAAACATGCGTCCATATGCTATTTCTGTTAAAAACTTCAGGAACTGTAGCAGTGACAGGCTCACTTTTTGATGTTTCTGCAGCAACCCCACTTTGCCATACTATCAGTGTCCAGTCCCACATCACGAAAAGTCAAGAGCACAAAAGCAAGGTAGGCATGGACACGTTCTTTCACCTAGATGTGCTGAAAATTTCATGTAACGCAGTACACTTCTCCTACCATCTTTCCTACAGCATTTTTGCATGATCAAGCAAAACTAGGAAGAAGGGGAAGGAAGATGAGAAAGAAGCCAGCTGACACAGATTTTTGTCCAATCCTGCAAGCCTACCTACTCAGACATAAGAGGCAATAAAACAGAGTTAGCGTCTCGCGATTCACAGCAGGAAAAACCAAAATTATCTACATGAGACAGCTGGAAACACAAAAAAAGTAGTTCTAGCACTGCCAGATCCCACTGTAGTTTACTTTCTCACCCATAGAGCCAAATTCAAATTGCTGCTTCTTTATGACTATGACTCTAAGAGAACAACACGAGACAGAGACAAACTCTATTCTGCACAGAGAGAGAGAAAAAAAAAAAGGGTTGTCCAAGCCAGTCAATGATGGGAAGCAACGTAAGTTTACTGTTTACAAAGGGGTGGGTTTTTTGTTTCAACCTTACCTACTATTTTATAGTCAGTAATAGGAGTAGGAGTTAAACAGAGAATACTTACCACACTTAAACTGACTAAAGCATTCGCCTTTGGCACAGGATGGTTATATAATGATTTTAACAAATCATTCGAGTCGTTTTCCTATAGGGAATATGTTTAAAATGTAGTTAATTATTGTATAAAAACTGACTAATTACCATTTATTACACATCAAACTATATATTGACAAAGATATATATGTATTTAATGAGAAAGACAATCACAAATTGCAGTGAAGTATTTAAATATTAAGTATAAAATTCAGGCCAACTTTGTATCTCAGAAAACAACTGTACCTGCAAGTTAAGTCCATCTCTTACGCATTTCCCCCATATACTCCTTAAATGAATCACGTTATTTGCAACTGAAAATAGTATTAACACATCTAGCTGGCCTGTGCATCTTGGATATCATCCTCCTAAAACTGCTAACCATTATATTTGTCTATTCAAATTTTTATTAAATATGCAGCTACATAGCTATATTGTATACTTTAAAAATTATTCATCAGAGCACATAAAACAGCTAATAAGGTTTACTAAAAAGTACATGCAGCTACTGTGTTTAACTAGGATCCCCCACCTTGATCTCCAAAAGAGACATTTACTTGGGAAAGAGGTGCGGCTGGAGTTTTTGTTTGGTTTAGGGTTTTCATTCAGTTTAGGGATTTTGTTCATGGAGATTAAATTCTTTTTGTTGTCAGAGTAAAACCAAAAATATCAGTGATAAGCCAGGGCCAGCTTTTAAACATATTGTTGAGTTTGCAGGAAGCTTCCGCCTCTCCCTGCAAGAAGGATGATGTCACTGGATCTCATACGAGTAACCAAGACTTTGGCTCCAGCTCTTGGTCAGACAAACAGTGCCTGGGCCAGGCGGGAGCAATGTCCTCTAACAGCCTCCTCAGCTCCAGGTATGGCACTAGGCAATACAACAAAATACTTCCATACACTGCTAAAACTTTCTGACCCACCAAAATAGTTTTCTCAGCATATAGGACAATAAACTTGGAACCCAGCAAGTTAAATTGGTTGCAGTAATAGCTGCAATGCCAGAACCAGTGATCAAGAAACAAAGGAGAAGACAATCCATACCCCTTCTGTCAAATAGAACCTTAATAACAATTTTTACTATTTCAGTGAAATCGGGGTCAAAATCAAAGTCTCATTATACCATTTATAAGACTTAAATGTATTCCACACTTTATTTAAACACAGCTAACACCTATTTAGCATCATTCTCTATAGTCCGTTTACTATACTGCACAATAATTGCTTATTCTATAGTTCATATATTCTTGAAATGTCAGCTTTTCCAGTCTAAAGCATATGGCTGACTACTGATGCTTTTTTTTTTTTTAATTACGATCTAGTATACTAATATAGTTAAAGTAGAAAGGTATAGCTTTAATGTTCTCAGGAAAGACAGATGCCAGTATTTCCTTTCCTGAGTAATCATGGAATATGTCTAATTGCTCATGAATATGCAAACTTAACTATCATGATTCTTCACCAAAAGCTGCAAGTAATTTTGTCTTGCTAGTTGAGATGACAGAATTATGAGGGGTAGTTTTTAGTTAATATGAAGGGTGAAACAGTACATCATATTTTATGCAGTTCTGAAAAAAAGTGTTTGTAACTGATAATCAGATAGTTCCAGAGATCTACAGTTTACAATCAATACATCATACAGATTTCCAGTGATGAGACACTTTGCTCACACTTCACCCAGGACTTGTTTATGCTAAGACTGACACTTTATAAAGGTATATTCTCAGCAGCTTTTTAAGATTAATGTGGTATTCAAGTGATAGTGGCAGCTGTATGTTCAGATTCTTTGAATTTCAATATGATGAATGTAAAAATTTGCTTCTAAATTCTACTAAAAATTTAAACTTTTAAACAGTATAGAATCACTTTACAGCACTTCAAATGGTGACTATTATTTCAAGGAAAATATTTTACACAAAAAAATAGAATATCTAAAATTACCTGTTCTTTAGCCAAATAATCTGCCAGGGTATTTAGGAGCTTGTAGTACACTTCAAACCATGGTAGGTAACTAAAACAGTAGGGGAAAAAGCATTTTAATAGAATATAAATGTATTTTTGCTTATAAAATAGTACTATGATTAATCTGACTTGCACATTTTTATAATATTTCTACATATGAATAAAATGTATATAAAACTTTTCCCCTCAAATTTAACAGTACATCACTGATAGATAGTAGCAAAGCTACGTTTCTTTACGCTGGACACTTGCTTGAAGTTCCACTGAGCGTTTCATTCCATAATACTTTCACTTCTCGTTATTTTAAAGGCACAAAAATAATTTTAAGCATTGCCAAATCACATTCCCATTATCTTTAATTGTTACGGCTTTCTGTAGTTATGTTATTTGCAATTTTTAAATTCTACATCCTGCTGTAGCTGGTGGACTGCCAGAACTGCTGCTTCCCTGGAGAACGAAAAACAATTTTACCTGGGCAGACCAAGTACGCCATATTTGACAAGTGATACAATGCTGTGCAATAGTATAAATGTCACATTATATGTAAGAATATTGGTCCCTATAAAGTCATTTCTACAGATGGAATTAACATCTAAAAATAAGAGGGCATTCACCAACAGTGTAAACACAGAGCACATTAATACATGAATACTTAATAGACTTTTAACACAAGTCTGCAGCCCATATGCATGCAATACTCTCAGCGAGTTAAACAGAATCCAAGATAAATAAGACATAACTGAAGAGCATGAGAAAAGAAACTCAAACACAGTGGCATCAGTTCCATTTTTTTGTCATCTATTTTTACAGAACAGTTACCTTTAACAGTGACATCATCAGTGACCACATGCTACAGAACTTTCCATAATCACTATTTAAGCCTACGCTACAGATATAAGAAGTTTGGTAAACTAAATAGTACGAGTATAAATTACTCCTTATTTACAAATTACACACTTTTTCATGTCTGTTAGAATTTTATCACATAGAACATTACTAAAATGGTAATAGTATGGTTAATACTAGTTGTATGAGATTAGAAGGGGGCTGGGAAAGAAATAAAGCCTGAAATGTTTTTACTACATTTCATACCCATATGTAACAATACTACACACTTTGTTATTCAGTGCAGTGTAAATCCACAGACATACTTCCAATGCATTTCTTAAAAGCTTTAGTGTGTGCTGTAGAGAGACCTTAAAATTTCAAATTTATGTATTTCAGGAAACATGCTAACTGCAACTGAAAAAGCCCAGTATGCAGAACCTAAATGTTTTCCCTGATAGAAAAAGGAAACCTGTTAGAGGAAACCTTGGCTGGTAGAGAAGCCAAGTCTACTTTTGTGCAGTGAGTCCAGTGAAGGGTTATGTTTTCTTCGTAACACCTCCATTCTCAGTACGCAGCTGACAAGGCTTTAGAAACAGATCCCAATTCTTAGGGCAAAGAAAGAGAACAGCAGAAATCTGAACATAGTTATAGTTACGCATTTTCTAGCAATCTTACTTTGCTATCCTTATAAAGGCTTAACTGCTGGTTCTTAAAAAAAAAACAGAAAAAAACATCATGAATTTACTCTTGCCAAGCCAAAGAGACGCAGAAGCAACGACTTCTTTTAGAGCCACTGTATTAATGTCTTTATCACACTTTACCATACACTGTACTGGCTATTAATCAAAACCACATCAACCTCTTAATGCTCACAGACATTTTTAATGCTTGGTATTGTTGACAGTAGTTAAGGTGTGACATTATTGCATTTGCTTTTCAATATATTCTTAAATAATCATAAAATTTACTTCATTGCACCTGTGCAAAGCCACGCACTGCTTACAGGCATGAATGCTGCACTCCTTGTAAAACACCCATCGTAACAGCACCTAAAACATCTGATCTTTGAGTTTTCTTCCACCTAGGCCTCCTGTTCTATTATCTTCTGAAATCACGTTAACCTGGTTTTACATGTTGCTGAAACGCAGCATAGATAGGCAAACAAAATTGTTCACGATAGCGTTCACAGTACCTGCACATTTAAGAGCTATTGAACAGTTTTACCAGCCTAGAATCACAGCAGGGACTGGAACACTGTTCTAGCGTTTTGTCCAAGTCAAGGTACAAGGTAGGTATAAACCACAAAGTGTTTTTATAACACTGGACACACAAATGGGTTAGATTATCTAAGAGCTTTCCAGTTTTTTGCTATCACCTCTGCATTAGTAGTGTACATCACTGCAGCATATTTTGCTATAGAATACTCTAAAATCTTATCTGACCATTCATTTTTCATAATGAACATTTATGAACAGCAGTCTATAAAAATAAATGCTCCTACTTCACTAAAATATTAACCATATTTCTTTCTTGTATCTATGATCTCAACTCCCCTCTTACTGTGAAAAGAAAAATTAAATGCAATTTTTAAGTCTATGCATAAAAAGGTCAAATTCATTATTTGAAATTAATGAACCCTAGCAGAAAGCCAAGGGAGATTTTTCTTTCATATGGCAACGCATGCTGACCAGAGTACTCGTACAAGAATTTCTTCCCTTAGCAACATCAGGTTGATGATACACTTCCGTGTCTTCATGTAACAAAACCGCAAAGAAAAACATGGTAAAAAGAGACTACTTGAACATACTTTAAAAATGCCAGTTTCCTTTCTGATCTGAAAGACTGGAAAAAGAATTGCTTTAAGTCTTATAACCACAGACACAAGGTTAATATAATTTCAACATGCCTCTTAAATCTGAAAAATCAACGAAATCAAAACAACTACTCCATTACATTATATGGCATGAAACCAAAGGCCACCAAGACCTGTCCTTTGTTTCTTTTCCACATAATCTTCAGTTCTTCAAAAGCACAGTTTAATTGAAAAGTTTTTGTTGATATTTTTAATTATACTGTTCTTACTGCAACAAAATATTACAAAGATCTATTGGAAAGCAAAAAAGTTCCCTTTATATTTTTCTTTTATGATTTGTTAATTGCTATCAATTCAGTATAATAAAGAACTGTTACATTTGTTGTTTTCATAAACAATAAAGAGTGCTTTTGTGTGTGTGCATATACAATGCATCTCTGCATTCAAAAGTAAACATAAACACAGGTTGTGTTTGTTCATAATAAAGACAGCTATCAGGTGGTATTTTAGATTCTCAAGAGCAAGTATAAGCTCTTTTTATTTTGGAACATCCTCAAGGCTGTCAAGCAACATTTTTGTCCTCTTATATCACAGCCTGATTTTGCAAGCATATGTGTTAATAATCCTATTAATTTATTTGGACTACTTTAGTAAATAGATTTATTCATAGATGAACATCCCCATGATATAGACTTTACACCTTTATCCAGTACATTGTATTGGATAAAGCACTGTATATAGCACTTGTGTGTGTGACAGCTAAAAACCAGAAGCATTACAGGTAAAAGAACCTTCTTAGCTTGTCCTGTTAGCAAACCTTGCAAAATTATTTAATCTTTGTTTAGCACAGAAGAACCAGTCTATGTACAGACAAGTCACCCAGCACACAAATGTCCATCAAGAGCTGTTAGGCTGGGTAATAATTTTTTTCAAGTCAGTACAGAAATGCACTGTCTGCAAAAAAATAGTTCTGAAATGGCTGAATTTAACAAAGGAGACCTGTAATATGTCACTCCTAACACAAAACTGTCACGCGAATATGTACCTTAACAACAGATAAAATCAAAATTAAAGTCCATTACCAGAAAGACCTTACCATCATACTTGTATTCATAAAATTATTTATGAGCAGTGCATTTCATAATTAATTAGCTGTCTTACAAAAACAGCAAAAGGTTATCAATGAAGCCACTTCATAGTAGATAAAACAGAGGAAAAATTCAATTTTAATGTATTTACAAGCCTAAACTTCAAATAAAAATAATACAGGTTCTTAAACTATGAAACCATTATTGGTTTCTTGTTTATTTTTCTTCAATTGTACACATTGTCTTTGCATTCCTCATGTTACAATCAATAACTGTTTGAGAAACAAACATACAAGACAAACATACAACAACCTCCAACAACATACAACAATTTCTCTAAAGTTGCCACAAAACATTTCTCCCATAATAAAGAAAAACATCAAAACATACGCAATATTGTTTTAATAGATATATATTCCCTGGCTGAGAATACAGTGGTCTTCATTTAAAAGTACAGCCACTGCCTGTCACAAAAGCAAGAGCCCAAGATATTTCACGGTTAATTAAAAATGTACTTAGCATTTTCTTTTAATCCAAATGAGCCACAAGGCAGGAGCTCAGACTTTTATTCAAAGTCGCGCATAACCCTTGTTGCCGTAAGTAGACTTCCACCTCACTGGTGCTTCTACTATAGCTCTGATAAAACTTTTACATTCATGAGTCAAAGGTTAAATAAAGGAGAGGAAATGTTTTCTGTCAAATAGTCAGGTAACCAGTAACAGTCCTGAACCATCAGCAGTAATCTAACTTCTAGTAATCAAATAAAACTAAGGAAACTGCCTTTCCGTAGCTAAATGTCTAATGTCTAGGGGCTACTTTTCTGTCTGGAAAATTGACACAAAATGTGTAAAATTGAAACATTCTGCTTCTAAGGGATTTGCCTAAAGGAAGAGCGAGAAAGCTTCAAGCGTGGTCTGAACTGAAGAACTACAAAGGCTTACCACATAAACCTGTCTTCCTTTTTAGACCATTTGGAAACGTAGGTGACAATTTTACAGTCATAAAATTAATGAAATCTAAGACTGAGCGTTTTAATGATGCGTTTTGCGTTCCTCTGGATACATAAGGGCAACCTCAGAGTCCATCAACAGTTTCAAGATTTTTAACAAAACAAATTTCAGTCAAGTTATTTGCACTTTGTACTAGAACCATTCACGTAATTCAAAAACAATTTCATGTAAACCCAGAAAGTATTATTCCTACTGCAAACAGCAGTGATATTTAGAAACAATACCCAGAAGAATTAAGTCTCCTTCTATTATTCAAAAGTGAACATTGAAGTTTCTACTGTGCCACTTCAAATCTCAACTGGCAAAATTATTATCTAAATTAAAATATAAAAAGTAAAAATAGAAGAAAAGATCCAGTATAGTATATGAGAACAACAAGGTATATTACAATACTCCTATTGCGGTACCCCTCGTTCTTACAGGGCCGCATGAGCTCAACAATTTGTGGAGGAGGAGGTGACACAGCAGGATTCACACCGAGCACTTCACAAAGCAGCTGTGCAGTTTAAAGGGGAAAAAACCAAACCCCAAAACAAAACAAACAACAAAAAAACCACACACACAAAAAAACCGAAACCACACAACTTCCAAAGGAATCACACAAAACTTCTGGAGAATAATCCAAGATTCATTTTCTCATCTTACTACGTTTTTGCACTTACTTGCACTTTGAATTTGGCAACTGCAGTCAAGCTCTGCATGATCATTTTAGACAATACTGTATCACAATTAAGTTCTTCAAACAAAAATGCCTGAGATAGCTACCTGGGGAGATTTTTATATATTACTATATAAACATACAGAGAACTTGAACAGAACATTCTGATTTGGGAGAAAATTCTGTTTACACAATTCATATACCTGTGTATATAAAACATTAAAAAAACCATAAAACTTATAGAAGAACTTTATACGTACAAGTATATTTTCTGTTTCAAACTATCCAGTTTAAAGCAGGACCATGTGGCTGCAAATTCAGAGATGATTTCCTTTGATTAGTGTTTCAGATGAAGAATAAGTCCCATAAACTACAAGACTTTAATCTTCGAAGCAGCTTTAGGTTGTTGGTGTAAAACCTGAGGACAAGCAGCCTTTGCTTCAGTTTTCAGCTAAGAATCCCGTTCAGCAGTTCAAACCCTATCTCTTTAGCCACCCTGGCATAGGTTAACACATGGCCTGGTACCATCCACAGAAGACATTCACAAGCGAAAAGTTGTGTCCTGTTCCCCACTCATTAGTCTACACAAATTTCTACAGTATTTCCTTCTCATCACTTTGACTGGCTTGTTCCCGCTCTTCTTTTCAGAGATTCTTACTTAGATTTTAGTTATTTATGACCATTTAATTTAGGGTTTTTTTCTGTATTTGACTATCTCTAGTTGTCTTTGTTAAAGCCCCAGTCAGCAATCTTCATATATTTCTCTTGTTTGAGGCGATACACATGCATGTGCATATGTAGATGTGTAGTTAGACATGGTGTGTATGTACACCTGCATTTGTGTGTTTATATAAAAGTCTATGATTATTGTGTACATATCTGAGACAGACAAGTAGTTCGAATTCCTCATACATCAGAGTCACTATGTGTATATACACACAGTGAATATAAATTTATGCTATTTTGATATATGGAAGAGAGAGAGTGTGAACATGCATATTCTTTATATATAAAGACAGCATTCATTTCTTAAGATTTCTTTGATTTTGGTTAATTTAAGATCAACAAGCATGTACAAGGGAAAGCCAGATAAAATGCCAAAAGAAATCTGCTCGCAAGTCTTCTTTCACTTGGTCATTTCTAATGAATCTTGGATTCAGAGCAAAAACTAGACTGGATACTAAAACACATTGGATGGAAATACTGATGCATTCTTTCTGTCTGAGCTAAACACAAACACACACACAAATTGGAGAGAAATGGACTACCAAGCTAGAATTACAACGCTATGAAGCTAGTGCTGTTACGCATTCAGCTATGTATTGTAAATTTGAAATTGTCACAATAAAAGCAATAAAGGCAATGCTTTTATGATGGTTCGGTGAAAAATTATATCTTGCCACTTTTCATTTCCCTAGTTATTTTTACCAAGTAACAGACCATTGACTAATCTTTAGCTGATCTATGTCTGTGGGGAAACGTTTAAAAGAAATATCCAGGTTTACACCAGCTACAAATTTGCATCCTTTGCTTTGCAGCACTACATACAGTATTTAAATGTGCATACTTGATGTGGGTAACTGATTAAACATTTGTTATTACAGCATTAGAAGCCAGCCAGCCAGCCAATGTTAGCAGTACAAGTACAAAATTTTGTTTCTAGCTTGACAAGGGAAGAAAAGGTTAACTCAGAGAAAAGAGCTAAAAGCATACACATATATTCTCTCTCTGGGCCTTAAGAAGATACATCGACAAAAGGTATCACAGAGAAAAGGTATCACAAAATCCTAAGAATTAAATCTTTCTGAAGTATTATTAAAGAAGTATTGTCAGGATCGCAGAAAGTCAATTAATATCCAGAATAAAATCTTTTCCTTTTGCTATTTTCATTATATTGCAGTAAATATTATTTTTTGCAGTATTTATAGCGAATACTTATTTTTAAATTACTTGCCCAAAAATGTCCAGTATACTGGCTCTCAACATTATTTTAGAATCTGTTTAAAAGCTCACGAAAGCCTTGATGTGATATTTCCAATAATTTTAAGCATTACTTTACAAGTTTCTATATTGTCTGGTCTTTTTTTCCCCGCCGCTTGTTCTTTTACTGATATTCTTTTACAAGTCAATGTTGGGTTTGTCTCCCTAACTCATGTGGTCTATCCTAATGACACCTTCCATGACTGCCCGACTTCCATATTGTCCAAATACCCGATATTCTACTTTTCTCCATAAGCCTCCTAGCTTACTCTCCAAAATTCTCCAAGTTGCCCCTTTGCAGCCAATGGGTTTGGCTCTTTGGCTCCTCTTTCACCTTGTGTTTGGGGATTCTCACGTTGAAGGCAATTATACTTCAATCTTGTTCTTCTCATGCGGTGCTGAACTGGATGTTCCCTTCTCCTCTACGGATGTAGATGTTGCCTTTTCCTCTACGGCTGCTAGGCTCTTAACTGAAGTGGCAAATTTGCCTTTTAATTAAAGCACTCTGCCTTTTAGAAGGGGTTTAGGACAGCTAAACAATTGGTTTTTTCATTACCAAAACAATTATCTTACGGAAGAAGAAAGAAAAAGCAGAAGGAAAAACAAAGTATTTCACTGGGGTCAATTTCTCCATCATCAATATCTCTTCTGCAACACATCGGCATGCTCTTTAGTGAGAATTATCTGGCTCTGGCATTTCTTATATTATATATAGTCTAGCCAAAGAACACAGAAGACACCCCCAAAAATCATATTTCCAAGGAGAGGAATACAGAATAGTGCACTTTATTGTTAAATTGCCTGGACACTTGTCAAAGATCTCATTAGAAAGTAAAAATATCCACATAATATTCAAAGCCTCTAATGCTGCAGTGTATTGTTCTCTGCTTTTAAGCAGAGATTTCATGTTATTTAAATAGAATTATTTAGCCTCACACATGGCGCTTGGGACCACTTTTCATGTGAAATCAATAGTAACACCGTTGTAGAGAAATAATACCCTGATAGAGAAGTATAACACATTATGAGAGGATTTGCAAAAGATAATTTTTTTCTTATATTTCTTATTTTCTTATTTCTTATTTTTCTTATATTCACTCCTTGACTCAATTTTTCTTATATCGACTTACCTTAGAATACAGAGGCAGACCTTGCCTCCTGACGTCAAACGGCAAAATCCAAACCTTTGCTTACTTTCAATGTCAGTGAGCACGAAGGTAAAATGCTGTCCTACTTGGTTTTGGGACACCCTGAAAAATTAGATACAGAGCATAAAAACACGAAATCACATAAAAGATGAGCATTTAAATCATTGGTCTCATGCGTTTTCATGCTGAAGCCTCACTATCCTTCTCTCCCTTCCCACCCTCCAGGCTGCCTCCTGCAGCCCACTCCCTCCCCTCGGCACAGAAGAGCCCGGGTCCTTCCTTCAGCCGTGCCTCCGGCTGCTGCCCCAGCCCCACGCTCCGGCTGACGTGCTCCACGGGATCTGGCCCCCAGGCTGAAGGGATGGGGCATTTCATAAGGTCTTTTCCTAAGTAAGGTCTAAGCAGAGCCAGTACAAGCCTGCCACAGCTTGCTGGCTTTGAGGACACCTCAACAGTGGAAAATGGTAACCAAAACAAAGGTTTAAAATTCTACAAGTAATATATTAAATGTCATCATACAGGCCTGGCTTAAGACAGCCATTAGAAAACTAGCTTTCCCCCCCGCACTCCCCCCCGCCCCCCCACCTTCAGAATAGCTTCCTTGGTTAAACCCGTAGCCTTCCCACACACATCTTCCTCCCTTTCTTGCACTACAGATTGTCCACAAACAACATTTTCCCGTGCAAACTTGCTCGGTTCTGGAAATGCAAAAGCCAGAAAATAATCAAGAACAAACAGCATGAGAGCTAAAATAATAAGCAATAATATCTTCAAGACTGTATCAAAACATGTACCCACTTGAGACATAATACGTTTACACAAAATTTCCCTGCCTGATGTCCCAACTCCTCTCATCCCCAAACTCCGCTCAGCCAGCGTTCCCTCAGCAGTGCAGGGTAATCCATCTTGTTCTCAGCTTCTACCTCCCCTTCAGCGTCACCTCTGACTCCTTGTACTCATCTCCAGGTCCCAGTCCCAACCACCATTCCTGAGCCCCCACTTTCTGCTTGACAGTATGAACCTTTTCCCAATTTCTTTTTAAGAAGAAATGGCATCTTTGCTGCCATGACGTGTCTCTTATCTCCTTTACACTCTCGAGCCAGGCGCCCTTCTCTCTTATGCAATTTGTCAGCTTCAGACAGAGGATCACTGACAGCACGGGATGGACCCGCTTTTCAATGTGGCCAAACTTCAGTCATCTTCATAGAGATTTATATTCATAGATATTCAATGTAAGCATTTTAGAACACCAATAAACCGTATCTGAAGTTCACTCACAGAAATAGATACTGCACTTTTCCAAAATTTCCCAGAGAGAAACAGCTTTAGGTAGACTTGGCATTTTCAACCAGGAGAGGTAACGCGTGGCATAGGCTGAATCACAGAATGGTTTGGGTTGGAAGGGACTTTTAAAGATTTAATTAAAACCAAATGAAAACAAAGTTATGATGGGGAGTGCATGGAGATTTGAGAATGTAAAATGTAGCAGTTCTGCCTGTAACTCTGTTGTCCTCTGTTCTTTTCCCATTCTTACATGATCTTCTACAGCAGAATACCTAAGCACCTGCTAGTAAGTGCTATGATTAACATGTGTTATGTGTGGTCCATTCTTAGATGCCAAGCCGAAAACGAATTCCTGCAGAAGCTGAGAACCATCACAGACCTCACAGTCTTCCAGTCTAAGGGCATAAAATATTTTTTTAGTTTATCCCCTGTAATATGTGTTGGGTTTTTTGTTGTGGGTTTTTTTTAAATCTCCACCAAAATAAAATATAAAAGTTTTCCCCTAGGAAAGAAGAAAGTAGAAGATGATAAAAGGGCGAGAGAAGTTACATGGGACACACGCACATTATACTGCTTAACACGTGCATGACAAAAGCTGGAAGACTAGCGATACCACTACCCAGAGTCTCCCACCCGTTTCAATTTGGTCTAGTCCCTCCTGAACACCCAGTGACTAGGCTGAAACAAAAGCCTGTGCTGAGCGTATACGACATAACAACATATCTCTAGTCCAATATAATCACTGGAAACCCATGATAATTAATGGACTTTTTTTAGTCAGGTAATTAAACTCAAATCATTAAGACAAGCATTTTCCTCACTTGTCTTCAATAGACTAGAACAACCTACTGTGCTTTTAAACACAATAAACCTCAGCAGCTTTCACTCAGTCCTTCATTTTTCAGGTTCTGCGTAGCTAGCGTGCTGGCTGTGTGTTATGCCTGATACAATAGAGAGCCATCAATAACAACGCGTTACTACTCCCCTGCCAATGATGCAATTTTCTATTTCACATCTTTGCATTTCCCTCTTTATTCCTGAGAGTAGATCGCCACCAAAACCTTGAGTGTGGTTTCAGTATCCCTGCGCACACTGTGGCCGGGGGCTTACCCGGCAATTCGGCAGCAGTCCTAGGTCAGTCGGCAGCGCTGGTGCCGCACCACGCACAGCCACCTCGGCTGCCTCCCGCGCCCACCCCCTCCGCTCCGCTGTGTCCCACCATCAGGCTCGGAGCTTTCTGCAGCCACGACTGGCTTCTTCTTACACCGCAGAACACCTGGCATGGTTAGGCTGGGGTCTCCATGCACCATCTTAACCCAGAGAGATCATTAATAATTCACAAGAAGCAATTGTTAATAGATGCCCGTCTATGCAGGCGTTGCTTTTAATGTACTACGTACACGTCAGGCAAATGACTACTCCGTTACTGCTTGAAAACAACTCCTTAGCCCAAAAAACTCACATCAGTAGGGATCTCTTGCTTTCAGTTATTTGCCTCCTCCCTTCCCAAAACCTGAAGATGACATGGGAAAATAACCGGTATTGCAATTAAAGCATACGCAAAAATGTCACTATGCAAGACCGCTTCAAAAATGAGATTTAAATTCTGATATTCTCCTTAAAAATAGCCCAGACAAGTTATGACAGTTCAGTGGCAATTCCAATGCCATCTCACCACCTCCAACTCAACGTCTTCCCTTTGCTTCTTTAAGAGAGATAACCCCATGTTTCAACAGTCAGTGTAAAAGCGGCCCAGCTTGAAAACTGCTTCCCACAGAGTTTAGGAGATGTAAGCAGCATGTTACAGATTTTCAAACTGAGAAAAACTCCAAGGCTAAAACTGAATCTCCACAAAGGACCCAAAAGTTTGCATTTGGTCCCATTTCCTTCAAAGGAAAAGCTAACAGAAGCCAGTGACCATTCATCTGGACCACTGATGGGATCCAGACTCTTCTGATCAGAGTTTAAAATACTGAATTAATTCTGGGTTTCTAATTTGAAAACTCCACTCCACTCCCCGCCCCCGCTCCACTGGGGGCAGCAAGGATGCCTGGTTTTTTACTCCTCTTCAGCAGAATTAAAACTGACTATATGTAAGCCTTACAGAAACAAACAAATGATGATTGGGGATTTCTGTGTATCAATAGATAATCACAATGTATAAACCAGACACATAAAACATTCAAAAGTGCTAGCACTACAGTTTTAACATATATATTGCATGTACCATCCTGTGGACAAATGTTGGCTATGTGAGTTGGGGCTTATGCCTCTCTCTTTCACTGCGGCACACCCAGGTTGTTCAGAAGTCAAGTCTGAGGCAGGTGGCAGCTCCTAGCACTGCTACTGAACCAAGGATGCCTCAAGTTTTCCTTAACGTGAAAAATCAACACAGGTAAAACGCAATTATTACGTACTTACACAAAATGTTATCTAGACTTTCTACCGGAGCGCAGCATCAACTGGCCAAGCTTCAAAAACTTTCTGCAAAACGCTGGTCTGGTCAGCTATTTGAAGAGAGCGTGATCTACTTGTGCGGGGAGAGCAGGCACAAATCGTTCCCAACCATCGCTGATCTTCTCCTCACTCATTCCTCTGCCTGGCTTTTGATTTACTTTCAACTCCTGCCCTGCATGCTTACATTCAATCTTAGTTTAACAATAATAAATCACTAATAGCAAAGAATGTGTGTAAATACTTATTAATCCTGCAGACTACAATGGGCTCTTTCAATGTTATTACAGTTCACTATAGGAATAAAAGCAGTTTTTAAAATTTTCTAAGTACATATCTACACAATGCAGAAAAGGTACCCATGGAGTAGGTAAAGAGCAATTTTAAAGATTTTTGTTTACACTACAGCTATTGCTCAGGCCTCATTTTAAGGCGGACTTGAGAGAGCTGATTAAGACAGGAATTAAATTTCTTCTTCGAACAAAAAACAGCATGTCTAATCATTAAATTTATCCCTTGTTCTCAATAAGAACTGCTCTTCCTCCAAATTAATCTGTTTAGGACACAGATGATGTTTGAAATTATTTTTTCTTCAAATTTCAAGAATTTTTAAAGGGTTTTGAATTTCAGAGAGTTCATTTTTTCAGTGAGTTTCATAGAATGAAAGACTTTATGCATGGGAATACAGATTTTGATGACTTATTTTAAAAAAAAACAAAGTTACTGGTATCGTTAACTATAAGGTGTCACATACACGTACTTGACCAATGTAACTAAAGCATACAGTTCTGATTAAAGCTTTGGCGGCTGCTACCTAGACCTGAAAATTTCAAACGTACTTCATCTCCTAATCTGAAGCTGAAAAGCAAACCCCACCAGTCATTCACCCTAATGCTCCTCAGATCAGAGAACAGATTAGAAACCGTTTCAACCAGGAATTTGAAAAACAGATGATAAGGTAGTGGTACAAGCTGACAGAGAGACCGGGTAACCCTAGGTTGGGCTGTCTCCTTCAACTAATTGTTATGCCCAAATCTAAGCTTCAGGGACTATTTTCTCCACTTCGAGCCCACTCCATGATCCATGACTCCACAGCTCAGGCTCCGTGTGTGGAGGGCTCCTCTGCTCCAGCTGAGCTATCTGACCTGAGCTCTGCTTCCCAGAAACCCCAACCCCTTACATATCAGGACGAAAAAGAACAGGAAGAAAACCACAGAAGATATGAAAACGTACAAAGCTACCACCAAATAAGGAAATTCCCACAAATGAAAAGCATAGTTAGCTTATAATTGGTGTTGTGTTTTCAAAACAATAGAAGCATTAAAAGAAACGACAACTAGTTAGTAAAGATTCACGCTGGGTGTGTTTAAGTCGCAACACAAGCCTGCTCTGTCCAGGGGCCCTGGCCACCGTACCTCGCCCAGGGTCTGTCGGAGCACACCGCGGCTCCCGCGGTGTGCCCAGCTTTCCTCTCAGACGGGTCCACTTCTGCACACACGTGGAAACCAAATAATCCATATTCGAAACCAATAGTTGCACCCTTCCACGCTGCATAGTTCATGCTGCAACCTGTCCTTACAAAGACTTCTCTCTTACACATACATTTGATATTACATATGCACATACCATAATACAGTGAAATAAAGGATGGAAAGAACTCAATTGTATAAAATTACTGCTGCATTTTTGAGTTCACACCCCATCTTGCAAACTGACTGGAATGACTGAAGTGTACAGGAAATGCTATAGTTTATTTATCTTCACCTGTAGAGCTTGAAATCCGTTCTCAATAATTTACTTTTCATTATCAACTATTTACTTTGAAGGCAAAAATTTTTGTGTAAGATAGAATTGCCTTTCACAAGATCTGCAAATTCAATGATCTCTCCAGCCATTTTTTTGCACTTGTCTTGATCATAGCTGTGTTTCTGCACACAGACTTTTATCAGAAATACCAACAGAAACGGAATTAGCCAGGAACAGGAGAGTGAAAGTGATGTCACTCCTGCCAGCATTACTCATTGACCCTAATAGATTATGAGTTAAATAATGTGCACAGTAATTCCCACACTTGAGCAATAGTCTACTGCTAACGAGAAATCTTCCACAGCATCAGCAGTAGACCCACTTCTTACACTTCAAAATACAACGCTTCCCTGTGATCGGGTGAGCGCAGTAGGGAAAATTAATGAGGTACGTATCATTGTCTGCATGCTGATCCTACAGGCGGCTTCCAAAGTGTCCTAGCTAAAAAGCCACACGTGTTACACATTTAGCAGAAGAAATGCACCCTGAAAGGGAAAAGACAGAGGAATGGAAGGAGAAAGGGGAAGTATTTATGGCGGAGACAAATGAGAGAGATTCAAAGCACAGATAAAATTGAGGGGTCAAGCAGCAATGTCGCGCAACTTAAGGCTAAATTTGAAATGGGGCCAAAAGGAACAAGAGGAGAAGTTGTGTGCTCACTAGTCATCATCCAGATAAATAACTGATGGATGTAGAGATTGAGGTGTGGGCTCTCTGCGAAGTTATACCTGAGTTTTGGGTTGAGAGTGAAAATACGGAAGACCGCCGGAGAAAGAAAAGTGAAGAAAACCATGCAGACTTTGCACAAAGGATTCGAGGAACAAAAGAAAGAACAAGGTGCTTTTTCTGATGTATCAGTATTAGTTTAGCAAACGTTAAAAGGAAATTAAAATCTCTACATTCTCAAATGTTAAATCCTCTTATTCCATATGAAAAGAAACAAAGAAAGGAATTCTGCAGCAGAGAAAAGGGAACTATTCATAAATATCTACAGGCAAACTGTTAGAATGTTATACAATTGTGCCATTTATTAAACCTAAAATCATTTACTCACAAAAAAAAGACAGGTTCTTGGAATAAATGCTCGAGAACTTCTATGATGCAATTCATTTCTTAACCCCTTCAAAATAACATGTAAGCCATAACCAGCAGTAACGAAACTATGTGCTTGCTTTCAATAAAAAATTATATATAAAACTTAAAGTTTAAGTCATGGTCAAAACATTACACGATTGTGCCTTTTTTGGCTTGACTTTCAGTTTAAATTTAATGGGAGTTACCTACAGATTTTTAATCACCATTCCAAGTATCTATTTTTGATAATTAGAATGAGTAGTGTACAGCTATTTATAACGTCTACATAAAAGATAAAGTAAGTCTGTCTGGTGAGACGATGTAAGAGGCACCAAAGAGTAAGAACCAAAGCCGGATCTCTGTCTACGATCACTGTAGCATAGTGAATAAAACAAAATCAAATACAAGTTCTCATTTCATTCACTTTTCAATTCATTCACTAATCAATACAGATGAGGTGGAGGAAAACAGGTGACGATGATCTTACCACTGTGCTTTAACATTGCTTTAACTTTCCTATTTCCATAATTTGAAGAATATAGATTTCCTACTTTAATGAGTTTTATTTAGCTAGTTAACAGAAAAGACACTCCATTCCCTCCAACTCTGCTGTACACTAGGAACCAGAAGCAATCTATGGAACAGAGCCACATTTTTTTATTCTAGGTATCTTGATCAGCATCAGTGGAAGCTACCACTTTTGCACTGGTAATTTCTAGCTCTTACTAGGATCAGATATTGCTTGAAGTGGTTTACATATGTATAGTACACATAACGCAGGTTGAGAAACTATGCTCTCTAAAGCACAGTATGCTCAGTCAGTGAAATAGATGCTTTCTGTTTCACTTCAATCAAAGCTTTCTGTACAGAAATTGTCACTGAAACTGCCTGTAAAATACTTGGGGTATTAGGTGTATGGTCTATCATGATCCCCTATACAAGAAAAAAAAAATTATCTATTTGTATACATCTTTTTTTTTTAATATATATATATACACACACACACACACAGACACACACACACACACATTCACCAGACAAGTGAAAAGCACATTTGTGGCTAGACAAAAACTAAAATGCTTGTCACATCTTAAATGTCCATTGGAAAAAAGCCATATAAAAAGGAGCTACAGCAGTGTTTTTCTCAATACTTTTCTTTATCAGTCTAAATTTCAAAACAAAAAATAAAACAGAGAAAGCAGAAGACAAGTGAACAGTTTTCTTTTTAAAAAAGCGGTAATACACGTCTACACTATAGAAAATGCCTGAATTGAGTAATAACTGGTACATACACCGCACAGCCAGTAAGTTGTTCACACAAATAGCTTGCCAGTAACCAGTCGCCTGCTTTCTTGAATGAGCTTCCAGTATTTTTGTCCTTTTCCCCACAATAGCTCTGCTCCTCCTCCTTGTCCATGCTCTTTTATACTCTCATGATGTCTCATTGCCTTTCATTCTCCCGCAAATCCCCTAAAACTCAGCTTCCAGCTACACAAGAAGCTGTGAGTGCGGTGGCTGATTTTAAAGATACCACAGTATTGCCCGAGCAGTCAGCAGGCCAGACAGAACACGTCGGTTTTGTTCCCCTCATCAGTCTATCGCAGCTTCCAAGAACCTCTCCTTCCTCTGTCCAACTGCCAATTTTTACGAAATTTGTAGAAATTTTGCACCTTTGAGAGCACTGGTTTACAGTCTAGTATGAGGCCAAGAGTCAAAAAGCACGTCTGGGAGGGGGGCACAGGAGGGTATTATCAGGCAAACAACACACATCCCATAACTTCTTCTTTTCTTTTTCTCCTTGTTTTATTCCTTCTGATACTCAGCTAAAATACATACCTAGCTATGCTATAAATTAATGTATTCCCACAGTTTATTGATTAAGATTATCCATCTCATACAAGCAACTAAGTTTCTTCTGAATGGTTCAACAGAAATAGTTAATGCAAGACAAACTATTTGAAAATAATTATTTGCTGCCTCTGATTATCTTCTTGCCACTGGATGGCAGCAACAGAACCTCACCTTTTTCTGTTATTTTATTTCCATTATTCATCTTCATTACCAATTTTAAACAGAATTCTGTACATATCTTAAGCACATTAAAGACTTCAATGCTTTAAAGCCAACACTGACAACTGTATAGTTAAGTCATTAAAACAGCTTAAAGGACAGTGAGCTTAACCAGTTCAAAACCCAAACAACTTAATTAAATTCAACTATAAAAGACTAAATGAACCTAGTTTATTTCAGGGAAGTTGTGTTTATGAAGATCTTTATTTTGCCAGTATGTTTTTCTGCAAAGCCTCTCTTCTTTCCTCTATACACACCACCATCCTTTACTCCACAGATAGTAGCTTCTTGCGTCTGATAGATGCTTCTCATCTTTGAATCTCCATCTACAACTGATGCCAATGTTGTTCTGAAACCAGCTCAGCCTGCACACTACCTGGGTGTATCTTTCATTATTTATGCAAATCAAGCTTCTAATTCAATCTTTGCTGATTTGGACAATATGAGTTTTCCAAACTGAGTGAGTACAATTGATTAAATTAATTACCATTAATCATTTTGACAAGCCTAAATAAATATTTTAATTAATAAAAATGTTTTATATGAACAATTTAAATGACTGGCGGCATTACATGGAAGCCACGCTATAACAGATACCAGAAAGGTAAGGGATAATTAATTATAAATAATTGTCCCGACTCTTCTCTGAGAAAAATCAATTGCATATTCAGTTACTTCCCTGCAATTAAAGTCTCAATTTCTTTGAACTCAAACAACATGGTTTCAGTACTGCTTGGCGAGTTTTTATATCCTGGTGCACCGTAACACTTTTTATGATGCTTGCCGTTTGAAGAAAACTATGTTATATCCTTAAATTAACACAGATGGCGTTTACAATTATAATGGACAAAACTGGGAGCCAGAACATAGCTCTATCTTGAAAGAGATATGCCTAAAATTCTGTAAAGGTTGCATTTTGCTGTGATAATTTCCTACTAGTGATTTCATACTTACTTGAACACAAAGGATGTGTTCTTCTCATCTGCAGGTGCGAGCTTAGGGAGTACAGTATGTTTTCCTTTTCTTTAAATCTTTCCTTGCAATTACACTAAATATCATTTTCTATGAAGTATGTTTAAATAAACGGTAACTGTAACACATACCTTTCAATGTCAAAAGGAAAGCAGAACTTTGGAACGCTGTTCAGCACTTCCTGTAAATACAAGTAAAAGAAATGAAGTTAGGATTTTGAAAAGGCTTCTATCTCTATTTGCTAGCAACCGCCCTACAGCTTGCTTTTTAAAAAACATCGAAAAATACTCATAACAAATAAAAATTCAAGGAATATATGATTGCAAAAAATACAGCACACGTTCCTGGACTGAAATAATTGATTATTAAAAAGGAATTAAGTTTGTGCTTTGGCAGATTGCAAAGACAATGCCATAGAAGCCCCAGGAGGGAAAGGCCTGGCCTGAAGGGTATTAACACCCTTCACATCCCCGCTGGGATTCCCTTCAACAAGGCCATATGGATTTTACAAGAAGCACCACACCATATGGGTAAGCCACGTCTGCTGCTACTTGTACCACAGACTAGCCACAGGGACTTCTGACAGATCCTGGCTCAAAAATACAAATGTTGTTTCAATTAAAATGCAGGCAGAGAAAAGGGAATGAAGTTGGCAGCAGAATGAATTACAGAGAGGTATAACAACTCTATACATGTTCCATAGTCAAATGCTGAAAATGATGGAAATCGTCTGCTGGTCCAAAGGAGAAATTTATATGATTAACCCTTTGGGTTTCACAAGCAAGCCTCACTATTAATAAGGGGC